ATATAAAATACCGGGCTAAATTCTTCATTCTTTTAAACTTTTCACTACTAACATTCCGCAATAAAGTTTGTTGTATGAGCTATTTTAGATGCGGAGCATCTTATACTCGCGCCTTGTAGTGCGCCGTCCGCGCCATCCGTGCCGTCCGCACCGCTTCTCGAACATTCGACAGCTGACGCGCGCGCATGCGCCGTCGCGCCGTCGCCCACTCTTCCACCATCTGTGCATCCCTTCCTCCTCTACACACCGCGCGCGCTTCACTCCTCCACCATCTGTGCACCCTTCCTCCTCTACACACCGCGTTCGACATCTACAATTCTCCTGATTCTCCAGTGGACGCGCATGTGGCGTCGCGCTTCGAGAACATTCAACAGCTGACAGTGCATGCGCCGTCGTGCTGTATATATACTCAAGGTCGGCGCTCGCTCGCTCAGTTGCCGCTCGTCGGTTGGTTTGTACGGCGCGTCGACGTCCAAGGTCGCGGTGAAATGAATTCCAACGAATCCACAAACACAATGATCGACGTCCCTTCGACCAGCGCCGCCCTTTCGTATACGTGTGTACGTGTTCACTCATTTAACACCCCCTCCTACTACCACGTTAACCAATTTAGCCATCGACCCAAGTAAGTCGCAATTTAACACCCCCATTTCACAACCACGTTAACCAACTTAGCCATCGACCCAAGTAAGTCGCACTTTAACACCCCGTTAACCAATTATATGGTCCGCATCCTCCTCAGTGTTCCCCCGAGGGAAGCTGCGGGCAATTTTTTTAGCTTCTACGAGCAGTGTTACGAAGAAACACTGAAAAAAAAAAACTTACCATACCACTTGGACACCCCCTGCATTGGGTATGAGCCTTAAGAGCAGAAGAAGACCAAGAAGAACAACATTTTTGTTTTTTCCTTCGCTGTTCAGATTTCGTGCCCATATTTGTAGCAGAAATTTCGGCGATCATTCTCGCGCTCTGCAAATTTTCATCATCAACAAATTCTGCAGTAATGTTGACGAATTCTTTATCGGTGTGTTCTTGCCTCTCATGAAATGAGGAATCACATGTTCTGAGTGCACTAAAATTATCAATTTCTCCCCATACATTATTGAATATGATGGTTTGGCTTCTAGGACATTAGTGCCTACTGCTCAATCATATCGAGGATCCTCTAGCAAAGACATTTTCGAATGGCCTGGTTACTCATGTATTGCCGTCGTGCAAATTCATTATAGGCGCTAAAATAAGGAGCGAAATATCGTTAGAACAGTTTTCCGCTTCATTAACAGCCACATTAGAGTTTCAGTACCTCAGACACAGGTCGAACTGTAAATTATGTCAAACAATAGAACTTGAAGTTGCAATCACTTGACTACGTTGTCAGATTCCATATGTTAATTCTTATATACACAGAGCTGGACTGACAGCTTTCCCAACTCATCAATGTGTGGAGTGCATAAGACAACGAAACATTATCTCATTTTCTGCAACAGATATTCAACGTTGCAGAATAATACTTAAGGTACGTTTGCCAACTCGTTATACTATATCTAAATGTACCAAGGAAAACCCAACTTAGATTAGTCATAACATGTAAAGATCCCGACTACTGTCAGACATGTTTTCTATGCGGGTGACCTAACGTATGTCGGTGTATGCATCCGCAACGCCACGCATAGTTAAACTATTATGATACTCGAGTTGTTGCGTGTTGCAGCATGTTACTTTGCATTACGCAACGCTCGCAAAGCTTGAACTAACGCCAAGGTTTTCATGCAGCCCTTTGAGTGAAACTCGAGATAGGTGACCGGTAAAATGGGCAAATCGCTGGGAACTGTGGGATACGACGGCTTACGGTTCGACGCACTGTTGAAAAATGCCCCTCGCCGTGCAATGTCAGCACTTTCCTTATTTTTTTTTTCCAACTGTGAATGTGACGATGACAAGCCACGAAAGCCATGAACGGTCCGCAAACTTTTTGTTGGCCTAAAAAGATCTGCAATGCTTTTATGCTGCTCGGGGGTGCTGTCAGTTTGGCTAGCAGATCACACAAATCAGTCGATACACAAAACAGTTTCCTTGTAATGTACGGTACTGCAGATAAAAAGTCACCATTTTAAATATCTCGGGGGATAGGGATGACTGTAGCAGTGGGCTAGAGTTCATTTCGGGATCGCTGCTTCAGCCGACATCGTCAGTCGATCGGCATGAAGCGCAACACTTAATGAATGTATTGATAATTTTTTTCTAGCCTTTAGCGCGCTATAAGATGCATTTCTTAGTCGAAGTCAGGTGCTTATTTGAACGCTGATGTTGGTCAAGCTGCATGGCATGGCGACATATAAACAATACAGTCAAACATAAATGGCGCCGAATAATCAAAACCCTGCGGTTGTTTAACGCAATTCTTCCTTCGGGTGCCGTCCTGGCGCACAGTTTGACCAAGATAAACGCAAATGGACTCGTCCAGCGCTTCGTGTTAACTTACTATTGAGTGAAGCTTTCGCGTTTTCTTTTTTGTCGTATATATAGGTGCAATGGCCGGCGCTAATCTCGTATTAGCAGGTAGATTTCCCCCGCTCGTTCCCATAATATCTTTGCTAGGCGCACCTGCGCGACAATTTATTTCTCAATATAATACTCGCAGCAAATTCATGCGTGAGCTTTTTTACTGTGGAATACACACGTACTTGTGATAAAATGGTTTTCGCACACTCTGGCTTCAAAGTTCCGTACTCAAAGGCTACCTGTCGCTGTGGCTGTCTTCACAGTCGCGGCCCACCTCGTTTTTGTTTTCATTACATGTCAATTGATACCTGCGTTTGCCTTGCACGCTCGAGATGGAGCAGCCAACGGCTGAACAACCGCCCATGTATTATAAAGACGAAGATAAACGGGCGACCGAACGCGCGAATCCCGAATAATCTGAGGCTTGCGGCGAAGTGGTTTGCCATCGTCCACTCTTCTCGAACTGGAAGCAGGTAGCAGACGGTAGCATCCCACAATCCCTCGCTCTTTTACTGGTCACCTATTAGCCCGTGTTGTGGGGAGACTGATGCGGGCTACACTCTTGCGTTTGGAGGAGTTAAACTTGAACATCAATCGAACCTATTCATGTTCATTCAAGGCCGAATAGTGTACTTTAAATGCGCACTGTACAATGAATTAGAAAAAAGTTTTTAACGACAAGCATAAAGTTAGTAAAAGAAGCTGCTACTAACTTGCGCGGGCACTTGCTATCTTTTGTGGCCTTTTTTACTACGTAAGTTTGCAGAAACTTAAAGGTGCAACGGTTCCTTTGAGCAGTGTTGCTAACTTTTTGCCATGCACCTGTTTTACGAGGCGGTAATACGCTATATTTTGTGATAAATTGATTAGATTCCTTCGCGATGTTACAACAGGCAGCCAATATAATGTACACTGTCTAAACAAACGGGTAAATTTAATTTTTTTCAAAAGAATAGGTCCACCAGCAACACTTATCTCTCTATACGTAGGACAGTACTTAGAAGCCTTTGCGGGTTGAGCGTGTCGCGTGGGCCTATTGTTGTGTACCTCCTGAGAAATCTTTATCTGCCTGCCTGCCTGCCTGCCTGTCTGTAAGTTTGTCTGTTTGTCCGCCTTTAACAATACCGCAAACGGCCAACCCCATCCGCAAACGCCCACCCAATATTGCTCAAGAATTAGCGTTCATAGCTGCGCGATTGTCCATTAAAAAGCAATTATTTCACATATTTGAGGAACCATAACAAGACGTTGATGTTTTGTATGTGTGCCTTTATATAGAAGAGGCACGCACAAGTAACTCTAAGGGCTGTAGCGTTTATCGCGCTGCGCTGAAAGTGCAATGCGATGCTCAAAAAGGTAAGTGTTTCTTAACGCTTTGCTACGACGACACGGTGGTGGTACCTGCCCGTCGCTTTGCGTTCTGCACCATACCACCTCCGAGACAGGCGCGCACGCCTTCGTTTTTGAAGATAACTGCCAGGTGGTGTTCTTGTCTATTGTGCTTCGATGCGCTCGTTCGCCTCCGATATACGCTGGAGTAGCTCTAACGCAGCGCCTCCAGAATACCATTCACCAATTTTCTTGCGCAGAACATCAAATAAACGTTTTTTTCACTCTCTCCAAACGCAAGACTCTCGTCTTTCGACGACTTTTGCAGTGTAACATTTAGATTTGGGGCCAATTTTTTTTTGTGGGAACGCTTATACGTTCTTTCTTATAGTAAAGCACCCAGTGCTTTAAGTTGGTAAACGCATTTCGTCAGGCCCATCGTAGTGGTCTACTAGCTAAGGTACTCGGCTGCTGACACGCAGGTCACGGGATCGAATTCCAGCTGAGGCAGCGTATTTTCGATAGAGGCGGAAGATGCTGTAGGGCCACGTTCTCAGGTTTGGGTGCAACGTTATAGAAAACCAGGTGGTCGATATTCTCACAGCCCTCCACTACGGCGTCTCTGATAATCATATGGTGGTTTTGGGACGTTAAACAACACATATCAATCCTATTGCCACGCTTCTTTCTGAAGTTTTTTTCAACACCCCGTTGTGCTGCACGCGATTCTCAGCGCAAACCGCGTCTGCAGGGCTGGAGAAACTTCAAGACGCAGTACATCATTTTGTTGAGAATACGCCCACTTCGCGAGCATTTCAGATTAGTGTGAAATCTACGTCGCCGCTAGTGATAACTGTAGAATTTTCGATGCCAAAATATAAATGCCGACACACTTCGCGGCTTGTCAGTTGATCGACGGCCGACGCTCCGTTCGCCGCTATCAGTGCAAGTCTGCTACTGTTATCCGACTTTCCGTTAATCTGGCATATGTTCGTGCAAATAAACAGTTTAATGTTCAACTTACTTTCTCCTTCTTCGTCGACGTCACGACTCCGTGACAATATCAATCATATCTTTGTCTAAAGAGCCAAGATTCGACAGGGTTTAGCAATCCAAGCAGGCGCTTTGTGGTGGGGTCATGCAAACAAGTCATGCTTCCGTACGAAATTTCATACCTTTTTCGCGTGCGACACGTTGTCAAAGGCTCCTTTCAAGTCGAGGGCGAGTATCCCACATGGTGCGTGCTTCTTTGCTTGCTTGACGACCAGCCCGTGGAGTTGGATCATCATGTCTTGGGTACTGAGATGTTGCTTGAAACCGTACATCGTCTCCAGCATCTGATCCGTTTCTTCAAGGTGCTTCAGCAGCCTCTGAAGGACCATGCGCTCCATCACCTTTGCTACACAAAACGTGAAGGAGATGGCCGCATGTGTTTCTATCGTGAGGGCCTTGCCGGGCTTTGGAATAAAGTGGACCTTGGCTTCCTTCCGTTCCTTCGGCAACCGCAAGCTCTCTGAGGCTTCTTTGATGTGCTCTAGGAGGCCGCGGGCAGCTGCATGGCTCATATTACCAAGAAGTTTGTAAGTTATGGCGTCCCTGCCGGGGTGCGCTACTCTTGCTGCTTTCGTCTATCGCTGTTCACATTTCTATCATGGTAAATGGCTGATCGAGCTTTTCATTATGGGTTCCCTCGTACCTCTCGGGCACCGGGTACTGGCCCTTCTTTGTTTTTAGGTACTTCACCTTCAGATCTTCCAGGAGTCTGCGGCCGTCTCCCTTGTACATGTTCAATACTTTGGCAAGGTTGCGTTTGGTCGTAGTTTCACTACTCAGTGGGTGGATGAGATGCCTCAAGAGGCACCACGTCCTTTCGCGCCGAGAGCTTGTCCTGCAGCCATCGCAGGTCTTCAGCTAATTTTCCCTGCAGAGCTTGGCCGCGTGCTCGGCGATTTGTTTGTTCAAGACTGCTAGCGCTCGGCTAGTTTTTGTTGTGTCTCTGACGCTTCCACTGCCACAATAACGAGTGCCGGGCCGCCCACGTGTTGGTTAGTCTAGCATCCACGTACGGTGTCTGCGACGTCGTTGCGATTTCTTGGGTGATTTTTGTAGGGCATTCTTCTGGTCCCTCGCCCATTCAGTGCAGGTCTGTTTTCTTTCAGCTGGCTTCGAGTCTTGCTCGAATGCTTCTTCTTGTTCTTGGGTAAACTTCCTCGTCTTGTCCCAATCTGTGATACGGTCCTTCCGCAGTACAGCCCGGTACCGGGAACCTCTGATCGTAATGGCGATCCCGCTGTGGTCAGACCTCAATTCCACGTCTTCCTTGTCCAGGCAACGTCTTGTGTGCCTGACAACCACGTCAGGTCTGGCGTAGTGTCTTCGCGACAATGTCGCCTCTTCTGGTGGTTACGTCCAGCTCATTAAAGAGGGCCATCTCGTGATCCTCCATCACTCTGGCCAACGCTTTCTGTCTCTTGAACTGGAACTTATATCCCCACCTTGTTAGAGGGGCGTCAAAGTCACCGAGGATCAGGAGTGGCCTAGTTCCCGTCGACCCTTTCACCTGCCCCACGATGCGGTCAAATTCGCTCTGACGTTGTGACGATTGGCAGTACATGCTCATTACGAATAAATTGCCCGAGCTGCCAGTTTTTCTGGCATGAATTTCGCCCAGCGTGTGTTCGCATCCACCCTTCACCGTGACGTGCTGAATACCCGCCTTGTTGCTTCGTACGAGCACCGCCGTTCTATTCTCCGTGGGGTCAGTGTACGTGACGTACCCCGGGAGTCTTGGTTCCCATTCGTTTCTTGTAGAGCAATTATATCAGGCTTGTTTTCTTGCCCGTCATGTGTAACGGTAGCTCCGCTTCTTTATTGCGAATGCCGCGTAAGTTCCATTGGTAAATTATGATGTCTCCCCGGGCTTCCATGCTTCTTACTCAGCTTCTGCATCATCCTTTCCGGAACGTCTCGTGTCGACCGCGCCTTTTTCGCGATCCCATCCTTAATTCTTTCAGCCCACTCCTTTTTCTTTTTCAGGGATGTGAAGCGGTTCAGTACAGACGTTGAGGCTACTTTGTTGCTAGGCGGTCGCGCTTCACCGGCACCGTGTGACGCTTACTCTCGACAGCTTCGAGTCGGGCATTTGTGTTGCCTAGCCTTAGGTTACTTGGGTGATTGCAGCCAAATTGGCCATGAGCTCTCCTTCTCGCGGGATCTGCGTCATTGCCGTGGTCATGGTCTCTGCTGTCACACGGCTCTCATCAGCGTCCATTGCCTCTTGTTATTCGATGCCCGTTGCGAGGCCTCAATCCTCTCCCGTCATACACCCTAGGAGAGTTGAGGGGACGTCTCTTCGCGGCACGTTGCTCAAGCCTGTGGCGTTGTTTACTGCCATAGTATTGTTTTGGGGTTTTGTATTTGCTGAGCTGCATTACTCACTAGCATTTCAATCTTGCTCAAAACAAAACCAGATGTGGTCGGAGACATTCGGCTACATAAGCGACTTTCTGTAAAACCGAATGGCGACCATCAGTATAGGGGAGGAGAAATCAGACCCTGTCGAGCTCGGCGATCAGGGCACCCCTCACGGGTCGTTCTTGTCGCCCCTGCTCTTCAATCTGGGCCTCCTGCCCCTACCCGGTCTGCTTAAGCAAATCGAAGGTGTGGAACACGCTTTCTGCGCCGATCACTTCACGTTGTGGACGGCCCAGGCCGGGTTCGATGCATTGGCAGAGGAAGTTTTGCAGTGGGCGGCGACGACCGTGCACGAGTATGCTAAGTCGTGTGACTAACCTGCGCCCCCCAAAAATTGGAGCTGCTCATCATCAAACCAAGAAAACCCAAGAAGGAGCCGCCGCCTAACGTGACTATCACCATCGATGGAATGGCCACCAAACCACACAGCAAATTAGGATTCCCGGTCTACTGCTTCAGAGTGATAGGAAGGCACAAGCCGCCGTCATAAGATCAAGACTACAACCATACAGATTCTTGGCATGATTCGAAGGGTATCTAACAGAAACTGAGGCCTGACAGAGGATGATGTCATGCGCTTGGTACGTGCGTTCGTCTTGTCGCGGGTTACCTACTGCGCCCCGTATCTCCGGCTGACGTATGTGAACAGGGACACCCTCAACACGATGCTTCGCAAGGCAACGAAGCCAGCACTGGGCGTGCCGATATACTCGTCTACGCTAAGATTGCTGTGACATGGGCGCCCACAACACGGCGGAGGAGCTCATCAAAGCCCATCTCTCTAATCAGAGAATCCGGCTCAGTCACACGGAGCACGGTCGAGCTGTCCTGCGGAAGATAGGATGGCAGATCGAGCCAGTACTCACAAAGGCGGTTTTTTTCGAAAAACTGGAAGACAACAATTCAAACGAATCTCCTTCCCCGGAACATGACGCCGGGCAAGGACGACTAAGGCGCACCGCACGGGCCGAAGCCATAGCCCGGAAGTCGGAAGAAAACCCCAGGGTCATGTACGCAGACGCCTCACTCCGAAAACACAGTTACCGTGCTGTGGTAGTGGTGACGTCCATTGAAAGGCTAATCGTCAGCGCGTCCTTGAGAACAAAAGACCCTGATAGCCGAGGAAGTGGTCGTGGCCCTCGCACTCCTACAGCCGAGCGTGGACGTGGTGGTCACCGACTCAAAGACAGACTATGGAAGCTTCCGCAAGGGGGTAATCTCATCCGCGGCACGAGCCATTCTATCCAAGTGCAAGCCTCCAGGAAGAGCCGTACACCTCGTGTGGGTCCCGGCGCACTCCGTAGGAAGCAGGCAACACTATTGCCGAATACCATTCCCGAGAAATGTCAATCCGGGCCGAGCATGAGCTGGAAGAGCTACCACACCCGGTTACCAGCTTTCGAGACATACACAGATGTACCGAGAGGGAAGGTGCAGACTACAAGAACCACTCCCCGACCTGACCAGGAAACAACAGACGATATTGCGTCGAGCACAGGCGCGATCGCCTGAGCATCCCCTACTGCTGAACCGCACGTACGCTGCGGAACTGATCTGTCTGTTTTTTAAATAGAAAATGGCAACCTGCGACACACCTTGGCAGAGTGTACAGAACTTAAGCTCCCCCCTCCCTTCTCCCCTCACCCTGAATCCTCAACCCATTGAGCGATGACAGACCTTGTTTTCCAGCCACCGCCCTACCGACTCAGCGTGCACTGGCGTAAAGGGGCCAGGAGGCTGCTGGATACATACGGATCCCACAACTAAGGAACCGCCACGTCTGGTGCCTGCGCGCACTACCAACAAGGTTGGGCTCAATGAATGTTGATTCATAATAAAGATAATTCTCTCATACCTTTCTTTCACTAATTACGTTATTAGGCTAACCGTGGGTGTAATTTATAATAGAATATCTGACTCTTGACTGAAGGCCACTGTGTACTTCTATGTCTATTTACCACAGCTTTTAATTAGTACCCCAAAATATCAACAAATAGGATACAACCTTAGAGTCAGCACTTGTCTGTTGTGTAACAGTTATAAACTCTTCGCGTTTATTTTTTATGCACTCCAACCAACCACGACGTATACGCTCAACGTAAGAATCACATGGAAGTAGCCGATTCATCGCAAAACAAGTGCGCGCAACTCGTCAGTTGAGAGGAAACATCGAAGTAGAAGTGAGACACCTGATATCAGGAAAACTCGGACATGGCGGACACTCTGAGCTAACACTGTCACAACTTAGCGAGACAGGAAAAAGCCTTTTGAAGGCAAAATTAATTTTAAAACAGTTATGAAAAGAAGGCCAGGTGAACTACGAGTCAGGTAAAGTCTGAGTTGATAGGCGGTCAGGTAATATTCTACAGTGCTAAGAAAGTGCAACAGAACACCAGAAATCACGTCCAGCCTAGCATGCCATTACAGAACTAGGTTCGAATGCACATGCCGGACAATTCACAATTGTATATTTGCATAAACATACATGATGAGGGAATAACGAGGGCAAATTCTAGCAACGTAGTTGTCCGCCCCCACAACTCCGGTCTCCGCAACCACCATCGTGTGAAATAAGGAAAACGACACAAATTATAGAGGATGGAATAGAAGCCGATGTCGGCCCCTCTGCATGTCAGTTCAGTAGTCTATCACATAGTTATGCCAGTGCTTGAACACTACGTTGCAAAGTGACCCTATGCAGGCTTCATGTCGGGTAACGAATCACGTAATGAATCACGTAAGGAATCCCTTGTGGCTAATACCCACATTGGGAGACTGTCCAAGAATTGAGTTTCGGGCAATATTCCTATATTATTCTATTAATAAATTCCGACACTTTCTCTTCGTGAGATATATAGGACATAGGAACCAAAATTACGGAAATTTCTTTTTGTTTAGGTTTTTATGAGAGTGACTTAGCATTCACTCAACTTGTGTTCTGTAAGCTCGCGCAGTAAGTTGGCAGAAGATGGTTAACAGAATGACAAACGGTGTCGAATGGATGATGAAGGCGTTGATTATGCTACATGTAATTATGATTATACGAATAGTGGCCTGAAAACAGCCTTCAGTGGATGTGTTCTATATCCCA